TACAAAGCGAAAGAATCTTGTTCAGTGGTCATATCTATTCACATTCTAAAGACCAGTTTAAAATAGGTTTATCTCTCGCGGAGCAGCCTCCAAATGTTAGTGAGTGATAGTGTCTAAGAAATAGGCGGGTGTTTTAAGTCTTTTCAAGAAATCCTCTAAATGACACTATTAAATGTAGCTGTATTTTTTTTATTCATTATATTTTTTTTTCAAATCAATCTGAATTAAGATAACAGTGTGCAGGAAGCCCTAAAATATTTTTCGTTTTCAACAGAACCGATCTTTGGGTTGAACAGGTACGCAAAAAAAAATGCTTCACTCCTCGCAAAACTTTTATTGCTTCAATTCACTCAGTGTCACACACTCTATATTCCACACAGATTCAAACACGCACAAGCGTATATATATATATATATATATTTTCTAATCATATCTTTCTCTCTTTATCTTTATCTTTCTCTCTCTCTCTCTTTCTCTCGGATTGGGCTTTGTTGATGTTGACACGTCTACAGATGCGAATGAAACGAGAGACGCAGATAGTTTCAGAATATTACGAAAGAATAATTTTGAAAGAGTATTTTTGATTAAATCTAACCAGATTCATCTATAGTATCTTTTTTTCTCTCCATCACCTTTCTCTCTGACTAGCCCACACTTTGACAATATAAAATCTACCAAGAATGGCGATATATTGTAAGAGCCTGGACGCAAATTTATCGTGGCTGAACTCGTGACCAAGGCACTTTCCAGTATTTTCGTCACAATGGAAAGGGCCTTGAAACGCGTCACAAAAAATTTTTTCCCGTTTACATATTTTTCTAAAAAAATTTTATGTAATGGTAGGACTAACTGTAAAAAAGGTTTTGCGTATCATCTGTTAGGATTGCATCGGACTGGGCTTTGTTGATGTTGCCACGTCTAAACATGCGCACGAAACGAGAGACGCATGTCGTTTCGAAATTTTTTGAAAGAATATCCCACACTGTAGCAATATAAAATCTACCAAGAATGGTGATATATTGTACGTAAATTTATCGTGGCTGAACCAGCGCTGAAGTCATTTTCCAGATATTTTCGTCCCAGTGGATTATTTTTTCTGTTAATCAAAGTAGCATTCTCTATGTAAAAACTGTGGTCCATTTTGTTATAGCGAAAAACCAATACGTTTTGTGTTGCTATTTAAAATCTCCCTTTTGTGTTCATAAAGTATTTTGTTTAACTTCTTCTTATCCATTGTATTCATTCTGGCAATTCCTTAATCAATGAAAACCAAAATAACCAGCCAAAACTTGAAGAAGGAATTTACTCTATCAAATACAGGAATTGACAGAATAAATGTTACTTCAATGTATTCATTTTCTATGAAATTTCTCGGACATTCAGGCCGGTAAATGTTGTTAATACTGTTTATTATAAACAGAGCCTTTACTTAAATATTTTATCCATAATAGTAGCGTATAAACAGAAAATATATTAAAATAATTGTAGGACTTAGTCCGTTTCATAATACATGACGTCATTTGTCTACGTTAAGATACTCTTCGATCAGATATGATCGTTCGAGAAAAATCATAGGAAATTTGCTGTTTTAAAACAGTAATTTGGCCTTGCTAACCAGACACTAGCTAAACGGTATCTCACATTCCTAGCAGGAGAACAAAGAAATGATTGTATATAATATTTTCCATTGTCGGCGCGTAACGTTAGCTAGATAATGCGCAATGCGTCACTTTCCCGGTGGTTAGCATCAGCCATACTGATAGAAAGTAAAACAGTTCTCAGACGATTAAAAGAGAGCGGTTTCATTTTGCAAGTGCCATTTCTTGCCCCAGTTAATAACAGATTGTAGTTCATCTGCCAAGTTGACATTAACGAACTAATCAGACTTGCCATTATGACAACAGTAGATAGTTGTGTCATCAGCATAGATAACGATTTGAGAGTCGATAATATCAGGAAGGCAGTTGATTCCATTTCACGATTTGATAAGAAAGATTGAGTCAGATCAAAATTTCGTTGAGAAATACCTTTTAATTTGTGAAGAAGATCTTCATGCCAAACCCTGTCAACTGATTTCGAGATGTCCAAAACAACAGCTCGAGCTTCGCCATTCGTATCTAAAGCTTGATAGACTCCTTCAGCAATAACTGTTAACGCATCAGCAGTTGACCTCGAGAAGCGAAAGTCATATTGTTTATCTTAAAGAAGACTCTTTGACGTGGGATGCTGACTCAATGCAGAAAGATCAGACGGCTTGACTAAGATCTTAAAACCTGGAACTATATGAAACCTGAGATTGTTAATTGGCATTTAAAAAAATATTAAGAGGAAAATATTTTTTTCTAACAAAATTCTATCAAGAATAAGATTTTGTTGAAAAAAAAAAGGATTTTCCTATGATTTAGTTATTTTAAATGTGACTGGGTTTAATAAGTTTGAGTCTGTAAAAATTTAAGTCACCTGTTGTTTATTTCTTGCTAGCGTAGTCGGAATTCATATTGAAAAGTCACTGCAAAGTAATGAGTTCAAAGACTGTCAAAATTCACAAGAGTGGGATATGTTGCATTTGACCGACTTACAGCATCCTGGCTGCTTTTAGATGTAATGGTCAAATACCAGGTGCAATTAAATAGGATGTTGTGCGAGAAAGTGTGCTATTGGATTAATTAACAAAGCGAATAGCAATACAACATAAACACTTAAAAAAAGTTTAAAATAACCACATAAGTCTTCATATAACATCAATTGAATATATATTTATATTTGAAATGTTCATACAGAGTGTGTATATGTTTTTGTGAGAGATTTGATATCTGAAAAATAAGGTGATCTTGAGTACTTAAGTTGATAGTCACGAGCCTGAATAAGTACCTCTTTCTGGTTTGACTGCCAGGTACCAAAAAGGATGTTTGACTTTCGCGCCTCGGGCTGTTCTTAGTTTTTTAAAGGTTTAGTCAAAGCGGGGTAAGTTTTGCTGCGAGGATAGGAGTCTTGACGATCGAACTGGTAGATCTGCATCCCTCTGTTACTGACAATCAATATCTGAAGACACTAGTCAAAGAAAATCCACGTCAATGTGAAAATTGATGTCAGCATTTAAACAATATCAATTCAAGATATGGTCAGGTGAGAAAAAATATGGTCTCCACAAGAATTTAGTGAAAGTCAACCCGTTGGGCGATTTGAAAATTGCTCGATGTTGCATCTGCGTAATTCAGATTTTCCGTTTCTTGATTGAATAGTGACTTGTGATGAGATAGGAGTCCTTTATAACAATCGTAAACGATCGCCCCAGTCGCTTCATCATGGCGAAGGACCGCTACACTTTCCAAAACTGAAACTGCACCAGCAGAAGATTATGTTGATTGTCTGGTGGTCGACATTGTCATTATTCAAGGGTATTTTTTAGTTCATCTCTCACGGATCTATATAATGATTAGTATGCCAATAGAAATGTAACTCATAAAACTAATGCCAAATCAAGGATTTTGAAGGGGGTTTTCGTCACTTCCGTAAATTATAACCCGAACTATGATTGGTTGACCAATGAGAATATGACATGGTCTGTAATTGGACCAGAATCCGTTATGGCTTAAAAATGTCGTCCATAAAGGCAGACACCCTGAGTTCTACAAGGAAACTGGAGACGAAAAGCTAAGAAGCATATCTTTCCCTCTGGCACCTGATACACTCCAACCAGTAGAAGAAATTTTGAAGACCCGGCACATTGAAGAAAATCCCAGACTATGAAGCAACTACTCAAATTGAGATAATAACATGCTGTTTAACATAAGTCTGTTGTATCAACAAAATTTCTCCCAGTGTTTTTTATCTTCTTTCCTATTTGTCGACATTAGCCCCTTGCAATCGTGTTACAATAAAAAAAAATCTTTGTCATTTGTTAACGGAGAGTTGCTTGATTCTTTAAGTTGATGACGCTTTTAGCAATTCGTAATTTCTATCCTAACCGTCAGAAGTTCATGTCGAATTGTGTCATCTTCCTTCTGTGGACATTTACAAACGCAACATGGGCGCAGAAAGTGTTCACAGCACATCTAGTCGGAAACGCGTGTGGTAGTCACGGAACCAAGACAAAACCTAGTGTCGTAACTAGCATAGGAACACAACTATTGAAGAGAATCTCCAAAAAAGCAGGAAAGAAAGAGACAACTAGTCAGATATTGTAAAGTTTAGATCCAGCTGAGGCGCATATTTTAAGGACTATTGCAGGAATACCAATAAGTCAGCATGCTTTGTGGGTATCCAGTTTCGAGATGATAGCAGAAACACGGACGTAGTTATATGCATGTGCATGTGGAAAGTGATTTTCCAAGCATGGCTTAGATGTGGCACAAGGCTGAAAGTACTGCTCAGTCGTAATTGTTACTCGCGAGACAAACTTGTTAACCATTACATCGCCTCGGGGAACCCAATGTATGTGGAAAGACAAGCAAAAGATAATCCAGATGATTCAAGAATAGAAATAGACAAGAATTTAATAGCAAAGCAAAAATACTAAGCAAAAACTAATAATAATGTTTAATAATGCTTCATCTAATTAACAAAAAATATATGTTATAGCTTAGTGTTTCGACTGTTCTAAGCCCATTAACAATGAACGTATAAATTTGGGGACATCGTATATGTAATCGTGCATGTGTGTCACGCCACTTGAGAGATCTTTATATGCTGAATGCCCATTTAGAGTGAGGAAAATATTAATTATAGTAATCTCGTTCACTTGAGATCAGCAAACGAGATCTGAATGAAACGCACGCAAATGCAAGAATGCCAAGCTTCAAGAATCGACAAGCAAATATTTTCTTTTTCTGAAGACTTAATAGCTGGATTCATGACAACTACAGCAACAAAATTAGCAGCAGTGATAATGAATAAATAGACAGAATATAATAATGAAAAACCTTTCAAATATTGGGCGAAGTTTTCTTCGTTCTTTTTTTTAAATACACCTTACCTTCTGATAGCATAAAAAAAAAAACTCATATGTAGCAGGAAAATATATTCACGCTTATTGGTAGGGCGGTTCCGGGAAGGAATATGTTTTTGTAATATATGAATCGATAAACACATTTCCCAAGTAAAGGGCTGAATAAAAAAACAGAGAAAGTTAATGTGTGGGTAAAAGAAAGAAAGAAAGAAAGAAAGAAAGAAATAGAAAGAAAATGCCAGAAGAGAGAAAGAGAGAAAGAGAGAGAGAGGAAGGGAGAAAGAGAAAGACATAGCGTCTGAGAGGGACAAAGAAAGTGAAAGATAGAAAGAGACAGAAAGAGTGAGAAAGAAAGGGAGAGAGAGAAGGAGAGATAGAGAGAGAGAAAGCGAAAGAAAGAAAGAGAGAGAAAGACAGAGAAAGCGACTACGTCTGAGGGAAAGAAAAACAGAGAGAGAGAGAAAGAAAGAGAGAGAAAGTGACTGTCTGAGAGCGAGAAAGAAAAAGGGAGAGGAAGAAAATGAAAGAAAAACAATGAAAGAAAGAAAGAAATAGAAAGAAAATGCCGGAAGAGAGAGAGAGAGAGAGAGAGAGAGAGAGAGAACTGGAGAAGGAGAGTGTTAGAGAAAGAGGTAGAGAGAAAGAGGAAGGGAGAAAGAGAAAAACATAGCGTCTGAGAGGGAGAAAGAAAGTGAAAGATAGAAAGAGACAGAAAGAGTGAGAAAGAGAAAGAAAGGGAGAGAGAGAGAAAAAAAGCGAAAGAAAGAAAGAGAGTGAAAGACGGAGAAAGCAACTATGTCTAAGGGAAAGAAAAACATAGCAAGAGAGAAAGAAAGAGAGAGAAAGAGACTGTCAGAGCGAGAAAGAAAAAGCGAGACGAAAAAAATGAAAGAAAAAGAAAGAAAGAAAGAAAGAAAGAAAGAAAGAGAAAGAAAATGCCGGAAGAGAGAAAGGAAAGAGAGAGAGAGAGAGAGAGAACTAGAGAAGGAGAGTGTTAGAGAAAGAGGTAGAAAGAAAGGGGAAGAGAGAAAGAGAAAGAAATAGCGTCTGAGAGGGAGAAAGAAATTGAAAGATAGAAAGAGACAGAAAGAGTGAGAAAGAAAGGAAGACAGAGACAGAGAAAGAGAGAGAGAGAGAAACCGAAAGAAAGAAAGAGAGAGAAAGACGGAGAAAGCGACTACGTCTGAGGGAAAGAAAAACATAGAGAGAGAGAGAGGAAGAAAGAGAGAGAAAGAGACTGTCTGAGAGCGAGAAAGAGAGAGGAAGAAAAAGAAAGAAAAACAAAGAAAGAAAGAAAGAGACAAAAGAGAGAAAGCCTCAGAAAGAGAGGGAGAGAGGTAAAGAATGAGAGAGAGAGAGAGAGAGAGAGAGAAACTGTAAAAAACAGAAATCAAAATGAGTGGTTTCAAGAAAATATTCATCTATTTTAAATATTCCAAGACCCGGTTGCACGCCCCTTGGTGTAATTTTTCTGAGCATTCGAGACCATACAGTCTTTCATGGTGTTATTCAGAGATGGCATGTAAGCAGTTTGTGTAGGCTCGTCATATCGAAACTTTCTTATGGATGACATTCATAGCGCTAAACTAGTTCAGAAATATCTAAAATGGTTCACCTTTTAATTATCATTGCCTTAATCCACATACGCACATGTAGCAAATTTAATATAGGATATACGAAAATTGAACACAGAATAAACTACACTAAGGCAAATAAAGCAGTAACCCCCAAACCTCAATCATATTCTTAAATAACTTTGTGAGATACAGAATTTCATATAGATGTTATGGATGACGTTAAACCCGTTCAGAAATATCTAGCCTATCGGCTATAAACAACCGTATTCTTAGTTCAAAAAGATTAAAAACGGTTCTGAGCCAATGAAGACAATAGTTCTTAACATCCATCTTCGAACTAATGAAGTGAGACAAAGTGAATATCAAAAGCAAAAATCAATTCATTGGAAAAATAGAAAAGGAGCAAACAGATTATAATAATCAAAAGGCAATTCACTCAAAGAAGCCACCTTCGGCATTTAGCGCGGCCTCAATCCCACTTCAGAAACCTTTGACCTTCAAGGTTGTAACTAGGGAGAGGCTGAAAACGCCTCCTTAATCCTGTTAATACTCGCTTGGTGTATTTGTTAATTGTGACCCACATATAATACACCATGGGATTACAGTCAGGCGAGTTAAAGGCCAGACGTTGGGAATGTTGAAATAGTAAAAAATATCTGACACCTACTTCTGACTCTTCCTGGAGTTGTGCTAGGGAGCGGAATCTGACCAAGGCTTGACCACGGTGTTCAGCAACAGCGCATAACTATCTGAATTGAGCTTCAGACCCTGATCAAAGATGTGAGGTGGCATGCATCACCTTCACTGGAGACACACACCAAAACAATGTTTTGGGAAACTTCATTATAGGAGGAACATCATATGAATTGTAGACAAGCCACATTTTGTTTTGTTGTTGCGCAGCTGGTCCTGACACAGTCAGAGAAGAACTGGTTCAACAGGATGTTTCATCTTGTTGAGAAGATTCGCATTACACTTCTTGTATAACGTGTAATGGCGGTCCTCATACAAGGTCAGCTTCATGGTGAACATTGCAACAACCATTTCGCACGCCAAATCCAGCATACCATTGCCTGGTTATTTCATCAAATTGTCCTGTAGTTGTTTATGAATTCTGGTGTACGGAGGCAATCGGAGCATCTGAATTGTTCTTTTCTTCACAAGTCCCTGTTTCATAGTCTCCTTTACAGCTCTACATTTCATGTGTTCCCGTTGTTCAAAACGCACTGACCAGCTGTCAAGATTGCGACGTTTTCATGCCCGGCACGAATCCCCATGAAGCAGGTTATATTTTTTCAATATTCACATGGCTTCCACTCGTCCAGGTCAGTTAACTTTGACACGTCTAAAACTGTAGTGACTAGAGATCACAATGCCGTTCACTGTTAACAGATATTTCAAACCAATCTGAAAAATGAAAACATTAGACTATCAAATTTATCCGGAAACAGCCAGTAGATTTTGATCCCATCTCGAATGACGTGATTAAAAGTGTAAAATAAAGTAGCCCTTCTTGCTTAGGCACGTGATACAGAATGTTTCCTTATAAGGAAACGGCTAATATTACTTCTATAATTCGCTTCTAGCAGTTGTAATATTTTGTCTCGCTTAGGCCATTCAGCATGACGTCTTTAGAAATTTTTATCGACGAATTCCACCGCTATTCTTTTGATGTTCTTTGAGTTCTTTATTTAAGGCGTCTTGCCTAGTTCATTTTGTGTTACCAAGGATGTCTTATTTACTCTACAACAATTAACATTACCGTTTGAGATTACAAGAGATAGTAAATATTGATACAAGCCCAATGGCTAGGGAGATAAAATGTGTAATTCGAGTAGCATTGGATGCTGGGAAATGAATACAGAATGTTTCCTTATAAGGTAACGGCTAATATTACCATTACCATTAGTAATATGGTAAACAATACATTTTCATCCCAACCCGATGACCAGGGAGTGATGAAAAGCGTGACATGAGTAGCACTGCTTGCTTGGTCATTAAATGCAGAATGTGTCTTTATAAGGCAACGGCTAATATCACCGTTAGAATTCATCATTCATATGCGTTTCTCGATATTTCACGTTTTGTGTAGTGTTTGCGAGTCAAGACATCACATCACTCAGGTCTGTGCTATTGCCATATCCTACATTCTATATTTGATATCTTGCATTCTATATTTTATATTATATATCTTATATATCTATATATATCTATATATATCTTATATATCTATATTTTATATTATATATCTTACATTCTATATTTGATATCTTACATTCTATATTTTATATTATATATATCTATATATATCTATATATATATCTATATTTTATATTATATATCTTACTTTCTATATTTGATATCTTACAGTTTTTGGCTTTCCGCAAAACTGACATCTTTGTTCAATGAAAGATTCTGCAGTCGATTTATTAGAACACAACGTGTTTGATAATGACGATACAGAAAATATTATGTTGTTACACGTATTCGTTTGGAAATTTTTTCTGATGCCCTGCAATTGATCTCGAAGAATAATCTTCCGTGGCATTTTTTGCTTCTCAGTGATTCTGTTCATCCTGTGAAACTGTTGACTAACGATATTGAAATTTTATTTCAGATTAAACACCCACTTAAGACGAAATGCCAAGTAGACCAGAATGTTCGACATCTTCATCTCTTTGCTTTCAATCATGGTCACAAAGTTGCTCGAAATTTTTGTGCTGTGTACGGAGATGGAATGCCAAACCATTAATGGTAAGGTGCAAGTTGAACAAATGAACAGGCTCAGACAATTCAGCTGAAAAGACCTGGCCGGTGATACAGCGTCATTACACAATATGACAATGCTTGTCCCCTCGTCACTAACGTGACCAAACATGCAAGTAAAAAGAGCTCGGTTGGGAAGTTTCTACCCCGCCTTATTCTACTGATTCAGTTCAAATGCCGGCCGTGTATGTTGCGTTCACTTTCTTAAAAAATAATCTTGGAAAATGAATCCATTTTTTTCTTCTCACCCACCTGCTATAATGACAGAACGGATTAGCTTTGGTGTTTAATTAGTCTAGAAGGTCAACACTAAAGGTCAAATGCAATTGGCCGTGGAGTTTCATGCGATAACAATCATCTGGCCGCCTGTTGCTTGTTATCACATAAAACACTGCGTAGCGGATTTTGATATCATTGTATATATATATATATATATATATATATATATATATATAGTCATCCACAGACAGACTGATTCGCTGTATCACAGCTCTTCAGTGTGGCTCATTTGACATGTCAGATATCTTACTCCTAGGCCATCGTCGCAGAACAGAAATGATAGGAATTTAACGTTTTTTCTCTATACAGAATACACCAGCGGCTCGGAGAACGAAATTCATATTTGAACAGTATATATATATATATATATATATATATATATATATATATATATATATATATATATATATATAACGTTGGTACATACAGATGCCATTAAATACCAGTACTGGTACCTCGACTATTTCCACAGTATTGCAATATTAAATGTAACAACACCCCAAAGGATGAATTTACTCTGTCACTTGCAAGGGTTGCCAAAAAGAATATATTGCAGAAACCTCAAGACGTTTAAGTAAATTACCATATAACCACAAAAGAGATATTTAAGAAAATAAATACGTATATACGATCATTTTTTTTCTGATGTTCTGCGTATGATCTCCAAGAATAATCTTTCGTAGTATTTTTTTTTTGCTTCTTAGTATTTCTGGTCATCCAGAAATATTATTTCATATTAGCCCCTTAAGATGAAATGCCAAGTAGACCAGAATGAGCATTTTCGACATCTTCATCTCTTCGCTTTTAATCATAGTCACGAATCTGCCAATGTTGCCAGAGACACTTGTTCTGTGCATTGGGAAAAATTCATTAGCGACAAAATGACACAGAAATGTTTTTTTTCTCGTTTCTAGGTGGCGAAGGTGAAACTCACCTTTGCACGCGGTGATTAAAATTAATAAGAGAATTGGCACAGAAGATAGAAAGGTCTCCTATTACTGTCGTTCGCCATCTTCATTTAATGCATAAGGTCCGGAACAAGTCAACGGCCAACGCCAAGCTGTATGTTAAATAGATAAATAGGATCAAAGAGGCAATTCAGTTGAAAATACCTGACCAATGATACAGTGATAACATAACAATACTCGCTCCCATGACGCTAACATGACCAAACATATAATTAAAGCGTTCGGAAATTGTGCCTCAATCTCTATATTTTCCAGATTTCAGGCTACCACATTTTTCAGTCACTTTCTGATAATTTGACGAGTGTTTTCTTCAACAACGACGTGGAGCTTAAAACGTAGTTTTATGAGGTCTTCATATCAAACCCTAGAGGAATTTGTGGAGAAGCCAGTGGGGAACCACTCCACTATCTTTCCTAAGAAATCATAATAATTCAATAAATCATAACAAAGAAGAGGAATACATAGAGAAGGCAACGGGAAACCACGCTACTATATTTCCTAAGAAATAAAGAAACGGTATATATGTAGAATATCATGAGAAATAAACAGTATATATGTAGAATTTCATGGGTAATGAAGCACCTTTATATATGTAGAATATCATGAGTATTAAAGAAACGGTATTAGAATATATGTAATAAAGAATATATATGTAGAATATCATGAGTATTAAAGAAACGGTATACATGTAGAATATCATGGGTAATAAAGAAACAGTATATATGTAGAATTTCATGGGTAATAAAGAAACGGTATATATGTAGAATTTCATGGGTAATAAAGAAACAGTATATTTATGTAAAGAATATGTATGGATAATAAAGAAACAGT